ATTAAACAGAGACACGACTTATCAGCCTATTGTATGTCAAAGTCAGCGCTGGATATGTTCACCAAATGTATTGCCGTAGAGTTGGGACACAAAGGCATTCGTGTTAATAGTGTTAAGTATGTAATCAGATGTGTAATTATAATTAAAATTGAACTTACTTAAGCCTGAGTAACCAGGAACCATTTGACACCTGAATATATACAATTAACTATCACAATCCTAATGAATGAATAATGTGTACAATATAGCCCTGGTGTTGTCAAAACAAACTTTCCGAGTAATTCAGGTGTAAATAAGAGTGAGTGGTATGAAAACATTGGAAAGCTATACCCCGTGGGACGGGTGGGAGAAGGGGATGACATCGCAAACGCTGTGCTATATTTGGCATCAAATGTGAGTTCATTCATAACGGGAAGTGTTTTGGTGGCCGATGGCGGACATCTCGCCGCTAATGTTGATATCACTCAACATTAATCTTAATAAAAGTAATTCAAAACTATAATTAAGATGTTATTTAATAATTAAGAAATACATGATTTTATCTAATTAAATTAATTAAAAAATAAAAGTTCACTTAAAATGTTCTCATAATCATATGCCATTTAATTTTTAAACTGATTAATTAAAATAATATAAATCTTTTGTACAATAATTTGAATATATACAATATTTCATGGTACGTTATAACTGCTATATTATCATACAAAATTATAAAATACAAAATAATAAAATTAATTATATTAACAGTGAATATTCAGAATATTGTAAATTACAATAAAAATATCTCGTTTGTATGATTTCAGCGATTATGTAGCCCTGGTGACTTGATATATACTTTATTAATCATTTAAATATCAATTATTTTATTTAATCATATAGAATTTTATTGTATTTTAAATTAATAATTTACATTTTAATTGTAGATTTTTGTAGATTTGTATTAATATCAAATTTTCCTTTTCGTGTTTTTATATTACAATTTAACATAAGTTTTACAATATTATCTACCGGTGCTTCAAATATTATATGCAGTATGAACGCCAAAACCAGGGTAAA